GAATGCGGGAGCGAAAAAGTCCCGCAACCGACGCGGACGCGAATTGCAGTGCCAATATATACTGTTTTCTATACTTAGCGCACGCCTAACATGTTTCAAATACAATATATATTAAAAAAAGGCAAGAAAAATAATTGAGTTGAGATGTTAATCATTATTTTACGCCGATCAAATATTCAAGCAATTATTTATTTCTTGCTTATAGGCGATATTTCGCGAATTAATAATATTAGACAGATTATGTTAAAAACGCCACTTATACATAAAGATATAATATTGATAACTATTGGTCCGAATAATACACATTCCATGATAATAAAGATATTTATGAAGGTAGTTTGAAAAGTTTGATAAACTTCCATGAGATGATGCCATAATTCATAAAATATCTTCACTCCTGACAAGTGTTATTCTTTAAGAAACCTCTGCCAAAATTTCAGTCAAATGTGGCGCGACCTTTAAATTATCTACATTGTCTACTTTCACAATTACCACAATAATACAAAAAAATTAGTTCCGTGCCGTCATAATACATTGTTATTTAACGAAATTAATTGCCGCACAGGTCAATGATGAGTTGATTGAAATATGTGGGGACTCTTCACCAGTGTTCAAGACCGTTTATTTCTAAATAAATGAATTCAAATGTGGCCGTACATGCTCTGAGAATGTATTGCGGTCCAGATGCTCAAATAAAACCACTACGAAGAAAATTATTGAAAAAATTCATGATAGAGTAATGAAAAATTGTCGAGTGTACGTGCGAGAGATTGCTGCATAGACTTCTACAGAGATAGACTGCGCCTCCTTATGGTCGCGTTGAAGACTATATTGAAGGACAGGGATATTGCGTGAACGATGATCTATCTCTCTGGCTTCTTGTTAAGAAAGAAGAGAAGACAAGGAAAAGGGTGATGTCATAAGAGTGAAATCAATCTTCCATTGAATATGAAACTTCCAAAATTCTTCCAAATTCCACCTTGCATTGTCACCGCAATTCGCTTCCTCGTCGTTTTAACATGTAGATAACAATACATTAATTCGAATTATTTTCGATGGCAGGTAACAACTCAAGTCTACAGAAGACAATTTCTAAACGAATACGACCTAGAAATACAATTCCTTACTTAGCCCGTATTCCTCTAATACAGGTAATTAAATTCAATACCCCGGAAGATTCTGTATGCTATCAAAAGAGAACAATCTCTCGCCTGCGATGTTCCGCGAGATGTTGTTTCTATGCGGCGGATCGGAGCGGCTGGACGACAGCTATACGTAGGTAGCTATTTATATTTCTGGCCTTGGTAGCAGTAAGTGTAGCCAGGCGCCATCTGACGTTATCATTGCAAACTTGACATTGTTGAACATAAGAACATAACAACACATTGTCATTTTAGTCGTTTGTGTTGTTTACAGTGAATTGAAAAATTCATGTCGGACAAAAAATGGAATTAACTCGTGAACATTTTCGTGCGATTATTTCTCATAACTTTCGACGTGAATTATCAAGACAAGAGTGCATCGATGAACTTAATTCTTTATACAGCGAGAAAGCACCATCCTACAGCACTGTAAAAAACTGGTATAACGAATTCAATCGTGGCCGACGTTTGCTCCAGGACGAATTCCGTGAAGGTCGTTCAAAATCGGTTGTTGTGCCAGAAAATATCGATGCGTGAACTGATAAAGCAAGATCGTCATGTGACATACCGTGAGATTGAAGCATCTTTGGGCATTAGTATGACAAGCATCAATAAGATATTCCATGAACATTTGTCCGTAAAAAAAATTTGTTCGCGTTGGATTCCATATATTCTGACAAACGCTCAAAAGAAGACTCGTGTTGATCGGTGCAAGGAAATGTTGAAAAATACGTTCAAGGTGCATCAAAGGCTGTGAATAACACCTACACAGGTGACGAATCATGGATCTATGCATATGAGCCAGAAACAAAACAGCAATCGACTGTATGGGTCTTCCAAGACGAGTCAAATCCAACAAAAGTTGTTCGCGGAAGAAGCACATCAAAGCAAATGGTTGCCTGTTTCTTCGGCATTACCGGTCACGTGGCGACAGTGGCGTTAGAGCACCGTAGGACGGTCAATTCTGAATTGTACACTACCATTTGTTTGCCAGAAGTCATCGGAGAAATTCGAGAAAAGCAGAAGAAGAAGCGAATCATTCTTCATCATGACAATGCGAGCTCTCACACATCGGGTCAAACAAAGGAATTTTTGACCGGCCAAAACATTAAATTGATGGGTCATCCGCCGTATAGCCCTGATTTGGCACCCAATGACTTTTTTTGTTCCCACACATCAAAAATAAATTACGTGGTCAACGATTTTCGACACCCGAAGAAGCGGTTGATGCATTCAAAACGCATGTTTTGCAGTTACTTCAATCGGAGTGGAAAAAGTGCTTCGAAAATTGGTTTAAACGTATGAAAAAGTGTATTGATCGTCATGGTAAATATTTTGAAAAACAATAAAATCAATTTCGATCATAAATATTTGTTTTTTCATTATTAGGCCAGAAATATAAGTAGCAACCCTCGTAATAACGCGCGTCGTGTTAACCGAAAAGCTTTTTGCCCGGTGTCATTACGCGAAGCTCGCCGAGTTTTCCGTTGGGCACCAGCCAGGTCTTTCCTGTAGTCTGACAGTAGTTACTGTTTCTGGCCGATAACGTACAATATCCAATCTAGCTCGTTCGCCAAGAGCAATCTACACAAACAAACATACGAGCTTCTGACAAGGCTCAATATACAAGGCACAATATAATACCCACAACAATTTACCGAGGACTGAGCGAACGGCGATTACAGAAGGCAACCTAGTCCCGCGCCCGAGTCTCCGGGATCCCTACGCTCGAGACTCTCTGGAGCACGGTCCTTGTCGCCCTGTGACGTGACATCCCAATCTCGTAAGTCCGTGCGTCCCAACCTTCAGGGTGCTACGGACCTCTAACGAGTTCCAATTCCCTGTCCTCTTATCGCGCCTATGCCGCCGAAAATCGACGGCAACTAACTCGAAATTGTAACGCAACTCTAATACTTCTCCTACCCGCGGCTATACAAAGGCTCGCTTTTTCACTCACTCGCCACCAGAAGCTCCCCTCTTTTTCTCGCGATCTCGTCCCTTTGGTCCGGCAGCTTTTCTCGATCGTTATCGCGTTGTGATTTTTAGTTTGCTCGCCGTCTGGCCGCAAAATGACGAGCGGAGCTCGTCACTTAGCGCAAGAGGCAGCCGCCGCAAGAATCTGTCACGCCGCTCAATGCGGCATCCGATTGGTTCTCCCGGCTAGCTCACGCGCGTCCAGGCTGCTTCATGTCTGGTATTGTCATTTTGAAACTCGCCATTGTTTTCTCCCCGGGACGACCTTCGGCAACTCTTGGGTTCGCAGTAGTTCAACAGAGCTCCCGCGGCGCGCTTTCCGCGAGATCTCCTGCCTACTCTGCGACCGGTTCGCGGAACCTTGCCCCTTTCTTAGCACAAGGTGGCTATCCCGCCATTTGTCGCCCGCCGTCCGTCCGGGAGAAGATCTCCCCGCGTCTTCTTGCGTGTCGCTCTACCGGCTCCTTCCGAGCCCTTGCTCTCGTTTGTTCTTGGTTCCTCTTAGCACTTTCGATTTCTTCCCGTCTTCTTTTGTTTGGTGTATTGGCTTATTGTGGTGATCTTGCACTCAAAAAAAAATATACAAGCCGCGGGACGCGTCTCGTGCACTAACGGTGCACAACAGACAAAATTAATAAATTCGGTCGCCTTCTCTCATGAGAAAGCGCGAGTCTCTGGCTCATCCTCGGCCAGGCTACAGTCTGAGTGACGAGCAAAAATGTGGATCGTCACAGCATATACAAAAATATTGTAGGAAGCGGATATTTTAAGAGCGTATGATAGAACGTAGGGAGTACCGCGAGCGGTATCAAAACAAAGCGAGAAGCAAAACAATTAAAAGCGAATCTTTTCTGTTATCAAGTTTATTATCGAGCGCTTGAATCGAGCCATGAACGCAAGACAAAGCAGAGTCGGTTAACAACAGGCGAACCGAGAAGACGCATCCCTGTAATAAGAAATATATTCTTTTTACCATCTGATTCCTCTAAAATATTTTACCGCCCTTTCCATATCTTACCTTTATTCACATCTCAATTTGGAGGCTTGTCCGAAAGAATACCGAAGGGAAGTTTGCGAGTTTATTCAAAGCGCGAGTTTATTCAGTGAATCAGTGGTGAGGAGACGACGACGAAAACGGTTGTGAGGAAACGACGACGAAGAAGATGGCGAGGAAATGACGACGAAGACGGTTGCAAGGAGACGACATCGAGGACGGTTAGGAAAAGACGACGACGAAAGTAATTGTGAAACGTGAGCGCCGAAAGCACGATGAGTTTCCAGAAATACGCGCATATTAACCAGTTTAAGAAGATAATCATGCCGTGACTAGAAGGATATATTATGGTGGAACTGAGAGAGAGAGAGAGAGAGAGAGAGAGAGAGAGAGAGAGAGAGAGAAAATAATAAATCAAATCTCAAACATATAANAGAGAGAGACAGGGAGCGAAGGCTCATAGGTTAGCGACGACGGGAACAAGAGCCGAGTTTATGCTTGCATTAAAAATCTGACTTTTCGTACGAGATGACAGAAGACGACAATGGAGAAGATTCTCAGTACGAGGATAGCCTACATGAACGAGAAGTCGAGATGTACCGACCCGAAAAAGAAATGGCCAAATTTGAGCTCGAACTCGCCCGACGCGAAATCGCGATTTTACGTGCCAACGAACGCGAAGGCGCAACCAACTAAGCGAGCGCGATAAACAATATCAACGACGACGCTTTAGCGCTGCCGATCATGAGTAAACAAATGAATTTAACGGCGATTGCGGATGTAGTGAACGAATTTGATGTTGTTTTCGGTGATTATGATACGTGGGAGAGACAGATCAAATAATAACGACGTATAAACTAGAAGATGATATTGCGAAAGTTCTGATCGGAATGAAACTGAAGAGAAAGGCGCTTAAGTGGTTCCATTCGAAGCCGGAACATATCGAGATGATATTCGATACGCTTATTGGAGAGCTGAGGAAGATGTTTCGCCATCGTCAAGATAAAGTAACGCTACGAAAGAAATTTAAAGGGCGTCTGCGGAAGAGAGACGAAACTTTTCGCAAGTACGTCCACGAAAAAATAATCTTGGGGAATCGTGTGCCAATTGCTGTCGACGAGATGTTGAACTACGTCATAGATGGCATCTCCGATAATACACTGCTTAACCAGGTACGCACATAACGTTTTGATACGACGGAATCTTTGCTGGAGGCATTCGAGAAAGTGACGATGCGAGATTGATACATAAGCTTGAATCGATCAGACAAACGGAGCGATGGCCCTACGATGACGAAGCGAAGTGAGAGGACTGGTGAGAGCGAGAGGAGCGACAAGAACGGCGTTGGCAACAACGGAATGAGGGGACGACGGATGTAAAGCGCTGTTACAACTGCGTTGCTCACGATCACGTGAACGCAGCGTGCCCGACGAGGAAGATAGGCACCAAGTGTTTTGAATGTGGGGAGCATGGACATATTGCTTCTAAGTGCTCGAAGAGGGGTAGTGGCGCAAAGGACACTGGCGCTACCACGAAAAATGTTTGCGTTGCGACACAGTCCTCGCGTAAAAGTTATGTAAAAGACGTAGTGATAGACGATAAAACTATGGCGTCGCTTATTGACACAGGGAGCGACATTTTGTTGATGTGCGCGGATAAATATATAAGTATGGGATCACCACGATTCCGGCCGACTGAAGTTAAATTTTCGGGATTAGGATCCAAAAGTATTGCGGCATTAAGATAATTCGAAGCTAAAATTACGATTGACGGGCATAACTGTCCTATTCTTATTTGAGTTGTTTCTGATACGGTGAAGTGACAAAATTATTGCTCGGAACAGATTTCTTTGATACGATAGAAAATCGGAGTGAAAAAAGTGCTTCGAAAATTGGTTCAAACGCATGCAAAAGTGTATTAATCGTCATGGAGAATATTTTGAAAAACAATAAAACCAATTTCGGTCATAAATATTTGTTTTTTCATTATTAGGCCAGAAATATAAGTAGCAACCCTCGTATTATTCTTCAAATAACCTCTGTCAAAATTTCAGTCAAATGCGACATGATAACATCTGATAGTCATCTAAATCGACTACTTTCGCATTTGCCGCAACAATACAAAAAAATGTGTTCCGTGCCGTCATAAAATATTGTTATTTGAAGAACTTAACTCACTCACTGCCGCGCAGATCAAAGCCGAGTTGAATAAAATTCATAGGGACTCTTCACCAGCGTTCAAGACCGTTTAATTCTTAATAAATAAAATTAAACGTGGCCGTACATGCTCTGAGAATGTATCGTGTTCCAGACACGCTCAATTTAGGTCACTACGAAAAAAATTATTGAAACAATTTTTGATGTCTTAATGAAAAACCGCCGAGTGTATGTGCGCGAGATTGTCGCACAGACTCATATATAGGTAGACTGCGCCTCCTTATGGTCGCGTTGAAGACTATACTGAAGGACAAGTATATTGCGTGGATAATGTTGTATCTCTCTCGCTTTTTGTTAAGACAGAGGAAAAAACAAGCAGAAGGGTAACGTCATAACAGTGATTGAATATGAAACCTCCAAAGTTCCTTTAAATTCCACTTTGCATATACAAAAATATCTCACCATTTTCAAATATTTAATGTTGTTACAATATTTTATATTAACATTCTGATTTATGAACCGCAATTGTCATTTGTACAACTGTTCCCCTCTTCTTTTCTTTTTCTTCTCTTCTCTTTTCACAAAATTTTGATGTTTATTTATGAAAAAACGTAATCCCTTTCCCTTTCTATAAATTTCCGCCATCTTTCAGGCAATTGTCGAATTTCATTTTGGAAAAAAGATGGTTGTTTTGAGTCGATAAATTCAACGAAGCTTTTTTCAACCTACTCAACAGATGTGTAGTATAAATCAGTGGTATGATGTTGCAGGGATCTAAAGAGATATTAATCCGAAGAGACGAGATCTGATGAACACGTCGCGTGAAAAAAAATTTTCCAACCCAATTCGGAGATAATTGAAAATATTTCAGTGTTGGTTTTGCTGTGTGAGGCCGCATTGTCTTATAGCAAAATCACTTCCCTTTTCTCACTGTAGTAAAAGGCCTCTTCTCCTCAAGGGCGTTATTCATACGAATTATTAGGTTGGAAACTATGAAACGGGCGTTTTTGGTTAGTCTGTGTTCAACTGCGACTGAGAGAGGTTCATTACAACGTGCGCTCGATATTTTTATTTATAAATTTTAAAGGTATTCTTCTTACTCATTTTATAGAATTTTTTCATGTTTTTGTTTCATTTTTATTTTATATTTTTCCCAAACCAGATGAAAACAAAACGCTATTTACATCTACTTTTTTTGTATGAGTACAAATTGAATCATAGAGCAGCTCGAACTTCGAGAAACATTAATCAAACTTTCGGAGATGGATCCACCACTGAAAAAAATGCTCGATATTGGTTCCAAAAACTTCGTTCTGGCAATTTGAGCATCGTCAATGAGCCTCGAGAAAGACCACCGGTCCATATTGATAACGAGGAATTAAGGACGACTGTGGAATCCGATCCAGACACAACTATTCATAAACTTGGGACTAAGTTAGGAACTAGCCATACGGCTGTGTTGAAACATCTGCGTGCAATAAACAAAGTAAAAAAATTGGACTCATATGTACCGTACGAATTGACGGAACTGCAGATGGTCGACCGCAAGAGTAAGTGCGCATCTTTGTTGATTCGCAATAAACGATTGCTGTTTTTACACCAAATCATCACTTGTGATGAAAAGTGGATTTTGTACGACAATCGAAAACAATCAAGCAAATGGGTAGATAAGAATATATCGCCAGGACATACCCCTAAGCCGAAATTCTATCAAAAGAAGATTATGGTTACCATATGGTGGAATGCCAAAGGTGTGATCCATTATTCCTTCCTGCAACCAGGTAAAACCATAACAGCGGAGTCCTATTGCCGTGAAATTGATGTCATGCATGAGAAACTTGTGAAAAAACAACCAGCATTGCTCAATCGGCACGGTGTAATATTACTGCAAGATAACGTAAGACCACATAAAGCTTCAATCACTGTTGACAAGTTAAATTCTCTAAAATATGAACTTTTACCACATCCTCCATATTCACCAGACATCTCACCGACCGATTATTACCTTTTTTGTAATTATGAATTATTAAAAAAAAATACAATAACCAAAACAATATTATAAAAGACTTTGAATTGTT